TGTACACAGCTTTCCCCCCCCCCCCCCCTCCCCCCCCCGGACCTGACGTTTCCAGTTACTAGCCAACAACCAGAGCACTTTGCAGTGCCCCATTTCCTCTAGCAGATTCCCAGACCTGTGTTGAGTACATCCTATTGGAGTGTATGCTGTGTTGCCACGTCTGTGAAAACATTTGCTGGGCTACAGCAAAGTCATGCTTAACTCCAGACAAGATCTAAGATGTTTATTTTTATAATTAAAGTGTGAAGTTTTAGTCAGTCAGCAGAGTTGAAAATGTAGCTAGGTGAGGGGTGTCTCTTCATACCCAGATCATTATGATAATAATGGGCAACCCATCACAGTCCCAGAAACAGCTGCCTAAATGTTACTGATAATGAGATTTGCTGCTTATTGCTTATTCTTGAGAGAGAGCAGACGTTGTAGGAAGCAAGGTGAGCATGGACGTGTTGACGTGAAATTGGGATTAAGTTGCATCATAATAAAAATTTGGTAGACCTGGGAGAATCTCCTCATCACCTCTCTTTCTGGGGCTATGAGACGTATGGCTCCCTGTGTAAGGAAGAAAACACTGTTTTAACATGAGGATGTTTGAAGATCCTCAGATGCTTTAATCAAGGAGTTGCTCAAATGTAGCCCTGCTCTAGACACATGTGACATTCCTATCTCAAAGGTGGCAGCACTTTGACAGTACCATGTCTGTGGTACATCATTGGTTTACAATTCTGTATTATTAAAATGGTGGCGCTCGTTTCTCCCATTTTATTTTCTAAAATACATTTGTTTACTCCTTTCTTATCTTAACAGCACTTGAAAAGAAAGTGCAAAGAAGGCTTTTCCCTCTATTGGGTCATCTTCACTGCCTGCTTCCTCCTTAAAATCCCCAAGTGAAGATGAGCAGCCTGCTGCGAATATGACGTCTCTGACTAGCGTCATTGCCTCCCGCCAATCTGAATGGGTGTCCTTCACTGATGAGCTGCTCCTCCCTGTTAACCCACGAGGTAAACTATCTCTGATCTTCTTTGAACTTTGTGAGACCTTAATTGTTCCAATTAGACCAACTAATGCCATACACCTGTTATCACAGAGCCTATCTTTGCAGTGCAAGCAGTATTTCCAGAGGTTGATTTATCTCCTGCTACCCCTACATAGTAGGATAATTTTGGCCAAAATGTAAAATGCTCTCTTAGGATGGGATTTCCCTAGCATAGATATTCCAGGGTTTGGATCTGTCCTTCAAGATTCAAGGCAGTATCCAACTGACCATGGAGTAAGTCTTCCCTACTATAATTGAGTGCAAAACTATGCCTAGTGTAAGGCTAAAAACTACATCAGGTGAAAGACAGTTTTCTGCCTACATTTAATGGCAAATGTTAGATATTTCATTAAAAAAAAAAAAGAGTTAATAAATGCTGATCCTACTAACCTTTGTATTTTATCTCTATTTTAGGAAGCACTGAGAAGCCTCTGAAGCAATGTTTTTCTTCCTTGGACACCTCCTCAGAAGAGAAGCACAACGCAGATGGAGAATTTCAAGATCTCTCTCACACGGAGCTGGAAGATGCAGCTGACAAATCCAAGGTGGATTCTGCTGTGCTTGGGAACAATGTGTGTCCCAGCACTAATTTGTCGTCATCCATCAGTGCTTGGGTGCAGTTTGAAGATGCACCATGGACCAGTGCTCCATCAACCCACCCACAAGCAGGTGAGGCAAGTGCATAAAAAGGTCCATTCTAGTAATGTAACAGAACACAGTAAGAGCCTACTGGATTTCTTCCTTGCTCTTTGGTTTCTCAAAGATTGAACTTTGACTGGTTTGTACTGTATTTTAGCAGAATGCCATCAGAGTTTCAAAAAGGGCTCATAATTTTGTTCTGGGTTGAGCTAGCAGTATAAACTGAACGTATTATTTGTTGTAAAGAAAATTAAAGGCTTCTATGATTCCTTTCACCTATGTCTTGACCCTGGAGACTGCCAAAATGCATTAATGGGAAAATAGTATAGTGACATTTTCAGTAGTGACATTTCTTATATATAGGTATAGACATCTAAAAAGTTTGATCCATTTCTGTCTCTGTAGTCTGGAACTGAAAGAATGGTGACTGTGATCATTGTCTTTATTTGTGCATAGTCCCCATATGGTACCTATATGTTTTCTGCAGAAGCTCACTGAGACCAACAGCTAGTGTGCCAGTGCCCATCACTACTTTCTGCTGACCTTTTATGCTACGATTTAGCAGCTGAAGAATTACAAAGACAACAAAGTTGACTCTAATTCCAGGACTGTGTGCACTTTTCTTCAAATGTAGAGGTTCTTTTTTGCATACTTTAAATGTGCATGCAAAGCCTCTGGCTTGCCTCCTCATCATATATTAACTGATATAGCTATATAAGCTTCTAGCTTTTCTGTAAAAATTGAATTCTGTATCTACATGCAGGAGGCTGTGGAGTAATTGAACTTTAGCTTACTTTTTCATGTTTAAATTGAGATTCTCTCTTAATGATTCCACTTATTAGTTCTAGTTATGACAGCAGTTTAGAGTTCCAAGTTCCAAGTATACTCTGCTCACTGTGTCCCTCAAACGCTCCCTGTGACATCTATAATATTTCTGTCAGAAAACTTGGGTTGGTAACTTTGGGCTGAGTTTTGGGTAAAACCCAATAGTTTTCCAGCTGCTCTTTTTATGCTGCTACAGACTAGTCCATTTGAGACAGTAGTTAGACCTTGTGTAGGAGAAGTGAGTGAATCTTGAGGCAAAAAAAGACTGCTTAAGGTCTTCCTATGTTTAAATATATTTCTTGGTTGTTGTTCTTGTAAATACTTACTAATCCTGGTGATAAGAGAAGGAAGAGCATCCACAACTGTAAACCTCTATTTTTTAACTTTGTGCTAAACCTCTATTTTTTAACTTTGTGATTAGCTGATCCTTACTCGTGCAGGTTCATACAGCCACATATTTCTCAAATGGAGCTGTTGGTTGCTGTGACACTGTATTTCCTTCCTCATGTTGCGATGTCCTTGTTGACTGAGAAACTCTCAAGTGCACCTTCTTAATAAATGGCAAAAAAAAGTCTTTGCTCAGCCTAAATAAAGCTAGCCATAACAAAGAGACTTCCATGAAGCTAATTTAGTTGTTTAATATGTCATTTCCCATCCTTAAAGGGCTATGGCCCCGTCTTAAGGTATGTGCTGAGCAAAAGCACCACCCCTTGGTTTGTGTTTTCAGTCTCAGGGAACACTAGGTTGTAGGCATAGGTCTAGGATATTCAAGAGAGGTGATCAGAGAAGACTTTACCGAGAAGACTTGTCCTGAGTGATCTATGCCACTGGGAAGGTATTTACACTCTAATTTACAGCATCTGACTGAGGTTCATGGAGGAGGATGGCTCCCCTTGCAGTCACATCAGGATGTACTCCATGTACTTCTTGAGTGGGATGCTGTCATTCCTTAACTATATAGGAACACTAAGAAGGTGATGTTAGTTTTTAAAATTACTTATTGATGAGCTAGTCCCACTCCTGTTCTGGACCCTGTATTATAAATGGCCAGACCAGTGCAGCTGATGGCCTCTAAAGTGAAAGTCATGGAGCAGACGAGATGGCAGCTCTTTGTCTCTTACCCTCTACTCTGAAGGGTGTTTGACAGCAAGAGGTAGGATAAACCTCAGCCTTGTTGTTTTCAATTAATCTGCAGGTCACGTCGTTTTTCTACGGGTGGCAGCAAAGCTGGGGACTTTGTGTTACAACCACGGTTTGCTGACACTCTCAGGGGAAAGCCCATAGTGACAGGAGCTATTCATTTCCAGTAGCAAACAGCCTGCATAAGAATAATAGTGAATAGCCAGATGGGGGATGGGGGAAGAGTATAAAGGCCAAGTGTGGACAGACAGATCGGTGTGAGAAGGATGGAGACGTTTGAAATCTGTTTCCCGTGCAGGCAGCTGTGAAGAGCAACGTCCTGAATGCGCAGCACCCTTGGCCGCGTTCCTGTTGGGGCTCCAGCACTCTTAGGAAATCATCTGTATGTCTGTCCATGCTGAAGCAGCTGCATAGCTGACTAATTAACCAGGCTGATGGCCAGGGTGCCTGGAAACACATTGTGAAAAGGGCTTACAAAGTGGCATTTCCACAGTGCTGTGAGAGCAGAGAGGTTGAACCCTAGGAGGGAGAGATGCTGTCTTACTCTGACCCGAAGGCTACAGTATTTTTCCACAGGTTTCTCTGAAAGCAAATGTTTGTCCTAAGTGCTCACAGTCTAAAGAAATACTAATTTAAAGACAAATGCTGTATAGTGGTTATCCTTTAAGAAATACATTTAAAATAAATCCAAGGCTAATGCTGGACCCTTGTTGTCCTGGAAGAAGTGAAGATGTAGAAATTAGGGGAACTGTGATAGCAAGAAACAGGGTTGAAAACACAAGCAAAGAATTCAGAAGGTGAGAATAAAGGTCAAAACTTGAGGTACAGAAATGAAAAGCATACATTGTGAGCCTCATAGGGCAATTATCTTTATTCAGGAAATTCTTGTAAACTCTTCTACCAGGTTCAGGCAGAAAAAAAGCTAGGCAAAATCTTTATTTCAAAATACTTCTGCTTTTCAGGTTATGCATAGATAACTGACAGCTGCCAAATCATGTGGATTTCTCCCTGGGAAGCAGTAACTCTTGAGTGAGGCCACAGAAATATTTAGTCACAAAAATTATGCATTGTGGTGCCCAGCTTCCTCATTTTCTTTTTGCTGGGAAAAGAAGAAATTCTCTTTTTCTCATAGTTACTCTCAGACTAGTCAAACTTGTCAAACTGATATGGCAGAAGTGAAGGATTAAATTTTTTTTGGCTCACCCAAATGTTCCTATCACAAATGTTACATAATCTGTAAATGATCACAGCCAGCCAGTGACATAACATTTGCATTTGTTGTACAATGGGTCTGCTGCTCACAATCTCATATTTTATTGGTGTTAGCTGCACTCTTGAATCCAATGAGGTATTCAGCAAAGCACCAAAATTAGAGCAAAGCAAGATCTATTACATCATCTATTCCACACAGCACAGCCCCCTTCACCCCCTACTTCTTCCCAAGAGCATTGTCTGGTTTCAAATGGCTTGAGGAACTTGGACTCCTACTATGTCCCTTGAGAGGCTGTCCCACAGTAAGGCAAATCTCAATTTAACCATTTGGTGCTGTCCTGTCTGAAAACAGGAAGTACATGCAACACAAGATCAGCAGCTGAAAACTAGACTGACTGTGTTGCTGTGCTAAAATCAGAAAAATCTGAGATCCTGTTTGATAGGGAAGGAAATGATGCTAAGAAGTTGATGGTAATAAAAGGTAGGTATCAAGAAACAGTCTTCAAAATATCAAAGAGAAACAAATGCTTAAAGGTAAATCTGCATATTAAAACCTGATGCATTGTATTAGGTACAAACATGCCAAGAAAAGTAAAATGCCTGTGGAAAGATACATTTTTCAGTTTGGGAAACAAGTTGATTTTCAGTGTCCTAAGCATGCTGCAAGATTTGCATGTTAAAAGCAATTCTGGCACTGATCTTTCAATGTTAACAGATTTCTGAGAAATTTCTGTAGCTGAAAGGCCATGACTGCATCTATTGACATTAGAGACCAAATTCCAGATTTCTAGGAAAAATACTGCCTCATTTAGGAATTTGGTTTCAACACCTCCAGGAATTTGAAGAGCAGCAGGAGTGTCTGAAGAGGGATCTAAATATGTGTACATGTTTACTTTTGCTTGGCTTGCTTTTTGAGATTGATTTTTTTTTTTTTTTGGCTCAGCAAAAGTATCTGTATTACATGCTGAGAAGAGAACCTCTGTGTCAGTAGTTGTTCTGTAACTGCAAGATTTGGGGTGCATAGAGACCTTTGTTGATTTAAAAGGTAAACATAGAAGTACTAACTTAGAACATTTATTATGCTGACATTAAATTAGAATTAGTCTCTATCATTAAAACTTTCCTTAGTTGAGGAGGAGAACATTTTTTTTTTTAGCACTTTTTTTATTTCCTTACTAGAGTCACCCATTCTTCCTAAGATTTGAGTGATATTGTGGGCAAAGAGTACGCAATGCAGAGAGCAGACATTACAAATTCATAGCACTGAATGTATAAGATTGTGTTCTGAACCCTGGATGTTGGTTAAGCAGGACTTCACTGTTTAACATGCAGGTCTGGCAGGTGAGCAGAACAGGATTTTTGGCCTACACTGAGCAGAAATGTTACACATTTTATTCAGATTTGGGGACTCTATCCTGCATGTTCAGAAACAAAAGCCATTTATAGTACACATCAATAGGTCAATTTCAATTTATTTTTATACTCCTCCTCCCACGGGGAGAATTCCTGAGATGACAACTATATTTGAGTGGGTGTCACAGATAGTGAATGCTTAATTAAGTGTAATTTGAAAACTTTAAAAAAATTCTGTGATTCTGTAAAAACTCCACTCTGTTGCCTAATGCAAATACTCAGATCTTGTCAGCAGTGGCAGAAACATGAAATCTGCCTGTTCTGAAGAGTCACAGCTTCTGCAATACTTGAACAACAGGAAAATATAGAGATGCCACCATTGTAGGATCTAAGGCAGAGAGCTGAGTAGTGATGGAGGGTAACAGCGTCAGGCACTAGTTAAGTTGCTCTGTGTTTTATTATAAAATAATTGTGTTGCTGTGGATGTTGGTATTTGTATTTACAGTGTTGAGGTACACTGATAGAGTGTCTGTGGAATAATTGTGATCTTCTGGAAGATTATGCTGTAAGTCTCTAACCAATACTTGTTTTTTTTTTCTCTGCATCCAGTATCTCCATCAAAAGCACCTAGATGGACTTCCCCCTCCTCCAACTCTTCAGAGAGGCAAGCCCATGCTTCAGAGAGCAGCTGGACAACAAACTCAGAGGACACCAGCAGCCCTAGCATTGCTCCCTCCTACACAGATCTGCAGTCAATTAATACTGAGGACTTGACCAGTGGTGGAACATCTGCAGCAGATTCAGCTGGTAAGGGGAAAACCTTTAAGCTTCCATCTCAAATCTTTTTTATGCTACTCAAATTCCCTGCTCACAAGTGAGCTACAGGGAACAGATCCAAAGCAAAACAAACTCAAGAATTAGGCAAACTAACACTTTGTTGTAGTCCAATTCCCAAAAAATCACACCTGGATTTGAGATACCCTGATATTTGCCGGCTGTCAAAGTAAGAGCTAAATGCAGCTATGTCTGAGTGAAATACTGGAACATTTCTGGTTTTCACATACCACATCAGCTTAAGCTGATCTAGAAACTAGTTCTCAGCATATTGTGGGAGAAGCTGATTGCCTGACCTGTACTTTGGTGCAGAAGTTTTCTTAACTTGCCAGTGTATTCAGCTGAGGCAGGTCTAGCTTTGCATACCACACTGTTTCAGTGAGTGCCAAGACACAGATCCAGGCTGTTTGAGGGTAGCTTAGTAGCAGATTTTGATCATTTAAGTTCCTTTTATCTGACCTTGTAGGCATCTATTCAGATGATGTTCTGACTGTGGAAAAATGTGCTGCATGGCATTGTAGTTTGATGCTCCTCAGTTGTACTCTAGATAATCTCTGAAGCAGAAGAAATAAAGCAGAGTGGTGTCACCAATGTCCTGCAGAGTTAAGATGATGACTTCTAAATGACAAAGCAGATTTTCACAGAGCATAAAAAGAGCTGGCACATCAGGACACAAAAAGGAAGAAAATACACAGCTCCAGGAAGAGGCATCTAAAGTATGTTGGAAGCTGTTTACCCCAAGATGAGGAAGGTCAGTAGCTGCACAGTTTGGTGATGAAAACTGATTTGTTGATATCATGGTAGCTCAGACACTTGAAGCATTTAATGTGTTTTCTCTCAGGTGGTGAATGTAACAAATATGTGTGAAATAAGATCTGTTTTGGGAGAATGGACTTCCTAAGTCCCACTGAGTTCGTACGCTACTTACATAGCAAGCATTTACATACATCACTTGAAAAGACTATTATTTGATGGTGCAGTGAAACTGGGTTGGACATCAAGGCAGGTTCATAGACAACAGCATGGGAGGTAGTGATTAGGTGCTTAAGACAAAGGTTTTGTGGAAAAGTAGTATTTTTGGGGGGGTAAGTAGAGACCTTTCTTTCTTCAAAGAATGCAGTTACCACAAGTTTGTCTGACCATTTTTATTTTAGAGCATTCTGCTTATCTGTACCTGAGTTTGGAAACCAGAGGTAGAAAGGTAGACCAGGTAAGCTGACATTGTGTGCCAGCTGTTTGGATGCTAGCATGGGCATCAGTTCTGTTCTGATGAGCTTATGTCTATTTTAGGGTGAACCGTAACAGTTTTCATCTGGAGTATGTGCTGTTTTGTTGATTTGTGGAGGTTGCCAGTGGGAGGCTGTTGCCTCATGTTGTCTCCACATAAGCAAGGGAAATGAGGGATGCCCAGTTCATATGTAACTTTGCATAATACAGAGAAATAAACAGAAAAGTTTTGCTGGCATACATAGGGAATTATTTGCTATATGTGGCCAAAAGAGAAACTAGTACTTCAGTAGAAGCTTTGTGGGCAAACTTCTTACTCTTCTTTTTTTCCAAGTCAGTCACAAACTGACATATTTGTTGGTGAAACAGGTACAAAAAATCATTCCAATCACCTATATATTTTTAAAAGTAAAAAAGTATTAATGTAGATCATTAGCTAAAACATAAAGCACACTACTGTAGAGATACTGGGACTTGAAATAATAAGATACACTCCAGGTATGGAGTTTGCAAAAGGGCAACATGAACAGAGTGCATCTGTTTGTTTCCCTTTCATGGGAGGACTCACAGCCCACCCCCGAAGTGCCTGCTGGCATCAGGCAAGGTTTGTGGAGGTGAGAGAGCTGAGTACCTGGTGGCCATGGAACTATTGTACAGTTCTGGCATCTTTTTTGTTGTTCCCCTTTATCCTGCCCTCACAGTGCATAACTGGACAAAAATGCATGGTCACTTTCTTCTCTCCTTCCTCTGTGCTCCTCTGTAGAAATTCAGTTCTTCAAACCTGACTTGATTCAAGCATTTTATTTACATTTCTCTTCTCAAAAGACTGGCTGCCTCTCAGCCTTTAGTGGACTTTGAGGGCTCCATCAAGGCAACAAAATAACATTTCTTTTTTCCATGAAGGAAAAGAGAGGAATCTACATGCTGTGTGTGAAGGTGAAGTTACGTTGACTGTTAACCAGTATGTTTACGCCAAGATCAAGCTTGATGGAGTTTTTTACTGCTAAAAAAACAATGAAAATAAATAAGTTTTTAAAATGTACTTAGTACAGATTTTGGTCTATAGGGGGTGCTTATATTGTTTCAAACGAGAAAAAACTATTGGTGAGAAAAGTGTGAAAAATTTTACTTACTGGTCAGACACTGAATAAAATAAATATTTTACCCATGGTGAATTTATATTCCCTGAACATCACAGAGAGAATCCAGAATACTGTTTCATAATTTCAGCACTTGTCCTGATTTTTTTTCTGCATGCAAAATGCTTAAACACCAACTGCCTGTCAAGAGTTCAGGGTATGGGATTTTGTGTGAGGCAGATGAAAGCCTGAGGCAGATCTTACTGCAGGCACACTCAGAGCTGTGTCCCAGCAGTGACAATGCACATCATGCTCTCCAGGGCTGGTAGGCTCCAAGCAGATGAAACGGGCCGGGAATCAGCTTTCTCACAGCTGACACAAGATTTGAGTGTAAAACAATTCCAGGGGCTTGAGCTTTATCTAGGAAGATACCTGAGAAACATGGTAGAGATCTGAATGATCCCAACCTGAGAGTTTATCCTCACTATGATGGGGACTGTAGAAAGCCTTTTGTCTGATGGAGTCAGGTTAAGCTCACTTACATCCTGTAAAGGCAACAGAATTCACAGCAGTGGAGGTAAATACTGCACAAGCAGAGCTAAAAAAGATTTGCTTTTCAATCAAAGTGCAGCAAGAAGATGCTGCACTTCATTGCCTGTGCTAGTTTGAAGTCTGGCACCAAGAAGCCTTTTATAGTATCTTCATCTTTATCATCATGAGGGGCTATTTTAGACTGCAGCCGCTACCAAATAAATTTGGGTCAAGTGATGGCAGACATCCCATTTAATGTGGACATGTTTATATGGTTATAACAACAAGCACTTTACAACAGCTGGCATTATACAGTGTGTGTGAGGCTGTATTTGGTGCTGGTGAAGTGGCCCCTTGCCTCAGTAGTCCAAGCATCACTGTGTCGCTCAGCTTGGATCAATAAGCATGGAAAGAAGCAGGAACTTTGGGCATTTGTGCTGTGTTTTGCAAGATAAGTTACACAGGACATCTCTGTTACTGATACAATACAAGTATTTATTCATTCTGAAGCAGATGCCTGTCTCAGCTTTCAAAAAAGGCTAAATATCTACATGTCAAAGGACCAAGGGAAAAGGCCTTGTAGCTATGATTATAGATTTGGAAGCACTGGGATCTGTTCTGAGGTTGTGCACAAATGCCTCACAGATTGATTTAGATTTCTGCATTTCACCATTCATCTCTAAAATAGTTTTTATTTTTATGAATTAAAATTAAATCTTGTCTACAAAGTAAAAATAATTAAATATGTTCAATATATAATGAATTAGATATGCATTTGCATAGATCAGGAACTATATATTCTATTAGAAATTTAATAGAATATATAACAAAATCTGTATTATATAATAATGCTCTCTGCGTGTGTGTATATAAAAAGCTGATTAGCCTTGTAGACATAGGTTCCCTGACAGCTGTTTTAGGTGTGTTGTTGCTAATTCTGTTGCTGTTTTTGTTGTGATTTGTATCTTAGGAGAGCTTCAGCTATGCCATGCTTGATGTTGATGGTTCAATTTGCTGACCAGTTGTTCTGTTTGGCATTCTTCTGAAGCTCTGGTACTACTGGGATAATGAGGAAATCACTGTTATTTTCTGAGAACATCTGCATGTTTGGAGATAGAAGGTTGCATGTGTGACTCCTAACTGCTCAAACCCCAGAAATTTAATAAATAGCACAAGTAATTAATTTGAAGAATGTTGTTGTTTTCAAAGTACTCTTACTTCTATTTTAAAACTTGTAGATGACAATTCTGGCAGGCTTAGCTCCAGCTATTTCTTGAAGTGAATGGAGGGCAAGTACTAACTTTTCAAACCTTTTCCTGATACTTTTCTGCCCTAGTTTTCTTACAAATCTTTTTTCTGTAACTGTAGCCAGCTAGACACTGAGTCCTGATACAATGATTGCGAGGTTGGTGTTATGTAGATTTCAAATGAGCAGCTTTGAATAGATTCCTGAAGGGGCCTACAAGAAAGCTGAGGTGGGACTTTTTACAGAGGCATGTAGCAATAGGGCAAGGTGTAATGACTTTAAACTGGAAGGGGGTAGATTTAGATTAGACATGAAGGAAAAATTCCTCACTATGAGAGTGTTGATACTCTGGAACAGGTTGTCCAGGGAAGCTGTGGTTGCCCCCTCCCTGGAACTATGGTGCTTTGAGCAACCTGGTCTAGTGGAAGGTGTCCATACCCGTGGAAGGTGTCCATACCCGTGGCAGTGGGGTTGGATCTAGATGTTCTTTAAGGTCTTTTCCAACCCAAACCATTCTATGATTCTGTGTTTATAGAGCTGAGCAATATGCTTGCACTGAGTGCCAGAAACAGGCTACAAGCTCTGAAAACATTCCATGTTAATTACCAGAGCAAGGCAGAAATACCATATGCTGATGGTTGCCACCTTCCACCCAGAACTGGACTTCAGTTATGCTGTGTAACTATTAACTTGTTCTGGTGTCCTGGTCCTAGACACATGAAAAAAATTGTATGTGAGAGCCTGCCAAAGCCAACTGGAGGGAGAGTGCACAGAGGAATATCGAACCCTGGCTTCAGGGAGGAGGGGACTCCAGAATACCATGAGCAAATAGCACTTCAAATGTGTTCTTGCACAACTCCAACTTGTAAGGGCTAAATTCATCACTGGAG